CAAACCCCAGCTGGGGCGATTCCATTCAGCTTCCCTAAATCCTCCCTCCAGCTGAGACTTTCATTTCCTTCCCCTCCTGAATTGTTGTGAATTAACCAGCCACTGTGCCCTGCCCCAGAGGTGGCTGCATCTCAGCACCCGGCGAACCAGCCCCGTGTGGTGTTATGTGCGGCTGTTCCACACTGCCCTGCCCCAGAGGTGGCTGCATCTCAGCACCCGGCGAACCAGCCCTGTGCAGTGTTATGTGTGGCTGTTACCCAGCTGTCCTGCCCCAGGGGCAGCTGCATCTCTGTGCCAGGAGAGCCAGCCCCATTCAGAGTTACATGTGCCTGTTGCCCAGCTGCCCTGCCCAGAGGTGGCTGCATCTGTGTGCCGGGCGAGCCGTCCCCTTCTAAACAGGAGCGGTTTTGAGTGTTTTCTCCTTGCCACTCTAGCCTACTGGAACGCCACCCGGGCCTTCATGATCCTCTCTGCCCTGTCGTGTTTCGCTGGCATCATCACGGGGATCTTGTCCTTCGCCCACCCGTCCACCTTCGAGAGATTCAACCGGTCGTTCGCTGCCGGGATAACGTTCTTCGTCTCCAGTAAGTGTCTTCCCACTGCTGCGGGGACCCCAGCTGGCCACCAAGACACAAGGAGGGAAGCAGAGTCTAGTGGTTAGAGCGGGGGGGGGAGGGGGCTGGGGGCCAGGATGCCTGGGTTCTCTCCCGGTTCTGGGAGGGGCACAGGGTGTAGTGGTTAGAGTGGGGGGGGGGAGGGGCTGGGAGCCAGGACACCTGGGTTCTCTCCCGGCTCTGGGAGGGGCACGTGGTCTAGTTACACTTCCCACGCGTGTAGAGGTTTCTCTGGCCTCTTGTCCTGCCATCAGTCTCTCTGCCCCACCCCCTCCAGCGCTCTTCGTCCTGCTGGCCATGGCTGTCTACACCGGCGTTACCGTCAACTTCCTGGGCAAGCGGTTCGGGGACTGGCGCTTCTCCTGGTCTTACATCCTGGGCTGGGTCGCCCTGCTCATGACCTTCTTCGCAGGTACAGGCCCTTCTCCTCTAGGGGTCGCCAGCTCCCATCCAGCCCCAGGGTGGGGGTGGGGGGCAATGGGGCCTCCCCCCTCTGGGGGTGGCAATAGGAGACCTTTCTCCTCATCCAATTCCTTGTTCCACACTCACTGTCCAGGAATGCCCTGGCTCTGACCAGTAGCCCCCTCTCATAGCCAGGGATAGAACCCTGGAGTCCTGGCTCCCAGCATCCCCCCTCCTCTAACCACTAGACCCCACTCCCCTCCCAGAGAACCCAGGAGTCCTGACTCCTCAGTGCTGTTAAACAGCCCCTCTCTCCCCCTCGCAGGGATATTTTACATGTGTGCGTATCGGATGCACGGATGCCAGCGCGTGGCTGAGACGCGTTAAACCCTGCGTGATGGCGCTGCAGTGAATCGATAGACACCTGACTCCTGGGGCGAGTGATACCTCGCCATTCCCCACCCCCAGCCTTCCAGCATCCTGCCGCAGTGGGACATCCCCATAGAAAACGCCCTTCGTTCGTTTCATCGGATTCCAGGCCAGCTTCCTCCTTCGGCGCTCGGTGCCGGATGTAACCAGAGCCAGCCCCCTGCCCCCAATTGCGTTAAATCAAATCAGACAAAGGGAAGCATCGATTACCCCACATTTTACAGCCTGGGGGAAACTGAGGCACGGCGAGAGGGACTGACCTGCCCAGTGTCACACAGGAACACAGCAGCAGTGCTGGGAATTGGAACCCAGGTGTCCTGAGTTCCCGGCAGGACCATCCTTCCTTTAGAACCGGACTTAAAATATCAAGCACCTATGCTGAGTGAACTTGTGCTGTAGCTTTGATTGATAAGCAGACGGGCCGTGAAATTAAATTGGCCCCTGGAGTTACAACTGCTCAGAAATTTCTCTCTACCTCCGTGCCCCTCCTGAGTAGCGCGAGCTAAGACAACCTAGCAGCAGGAAGTGTAGTTTTAAAGTTTTGTGTCTTTGGCCAGGCAGCTCTGATTTTTGCCTTTAACAAAGTTTTATGCATTGAATTTCCCTGGTTTTTCTTTTCTTTTTTTAAAGACAAAGAATAAAGGTCCTTAAAACGGTTTGTTCCTGTGTTGATTTCTACCCACAAAAGCACTAGTCGTGCTTGGAAACCCTTTGTTTGAAGGGCCTCTAACCCTAAAACGGTTTTAAACCACTTGGCAGCGTTTGTAGTTCAAGCCTCTGAAATCCCAGCAATGTTTTTTAAACAATTTTTTTAATGTCGTTGGTTTTTGGTCAAAGGCAGGAAAGATCCTTGAAAGCAACTTACACTGTCTCAAGTGCCAGAGCGGTATTAAACTGGTTTAAATATTTGGAAATAAATTATTATTAATTTGTATGTTCATAGCATCTGACAGCTCTAGTCGTGGACCAAGCCCCTGTCAAGCGAGGCCCTTACAAACATTTGCTCACGTTAAATTTCCTTTCTTTTTAATAACAAGTTTTTAAGGAATTAAGCTGGCTCTAAAGCCAAAGCGATATTACATATTTGTGCATAAATCTATCTAGCTACCAAAATGTTTCGCAGGAATTTGTGGGTTTTAACAGGGACAAGTCACATCATTTCCTTTGGGTCATGTGGAAGTGTTTCGTTTTGACTTTTACATTCCAAATATGACTTTTAGTATGACATAATATTTAAGCCTGCATGAATATAATGTATAGGACCTTGAATATTTTAATAGACTTTTAAAAGCCTAAATGAAACAAATCGAAACATTTGGATGGTCCCACAGAGAAATTTTTTGGAATTTTCCTTTTGCGGGCAATGTTCAGATTTGGGTTTTTTGTTCCCATTTGGAACGAGCAAAATTCAAAATGTCAGAATGTCCCACAGAATAGAAATTCAGGCTGCTGACCAGCCCTGTGTGTTAACTTATGTTAAAATAATCACAAAGTTTTTTGCACTGAATTTCCTAGGTTTTTAGATGTGTATATAAAAATATAAATAAAAGCGAAGGAAGGGGAGAATTTTTCAAAAGCTCCTAAGTCACATATGCCCATTTCCTCAAAGGTGCATACGTAGACACAAGTGCCAAAATACCTATGAAGAGCCAATGGGAGTTAGGAGCATGCATACCTTTGGGGATCTAAGCTGTGGGGTCCTCAGTCCCATGAGAACTAGATGCCTAAATCATTTAGATTCTTTGGAAAATTGTATCCCAGATCTGTGAAGCGAATGAAGCTGTATCGAAAACAGGGCAGAGAGAGAAACTAGTTTAAAGCCGATCGTCCTCTGCCGAGCAGTAGCCAATGTCTGGCCCTTTCTCGGTCGCTTTCGCATCAGAGTTCGAATCGGCGCGGCAGAGCTGGCAGGGTTGCTTATTGCAAGTTGCTTATCTGCGCTGTATACGCCAGGCCTGGACCAGAGGTGGCCAAAGCAGGCAGCCAAACCCCAGTTAGGAATCCCAGCCCTGCCACCAATGCCTGGGGCCCAGGACGCAACTGGGCCCCGTGACGGCGGAGAGCAAACGCCCCTGCCTGCTTGCGAGAGCTCCCTGCGAAGAGACGTGGCAGCACAGAGACGGACAACGTGGCGGCGTCTCGAGACTCACCGTCAGCGGCACGCTTGGATAACGAGCTTGGCGGGCCGGGTGCATCCACGTTACCTGGTGACGCCCCGGGGGAAGCGGGGTCACGTCCCCTGGCCGTGCTCCAGCCAAGGAACCCCCACCCGGCCTTTCTCGGAAGATGGCACCAGTGTTTTATAGGACGTGCCCCCTCCCGCCCAGCGGTCCTGCCACGGTGCCACCCTCCAGGCGGGTGCACGTTATGGTCATGTCCAGGAGTGTAAGCGGCTTCACCAGGCACCAGACTAGACCTTGGCCATGTAGCCCCCGAGCCAGTGGGTAATCCGGCTTGCTGTGGGAGTGCCGAAGGGCCAACCGTGCGGTTGTGTGTGCTGCCCCCTGCTGGAGGGGCTGGGCCCTGCTCTGTGTGTGTGTGTGTGTGTGTGTGTGTGTGTGTCCCTGCTGCCCCCTGCTGGAGGGGCTGGGCCCTGCTGTGTGTGTGTGTGTCCCTGCTGCCCCCTGCTGGAGGGACTGGGCCCAGCTCTGTGTGTGTGTGTGTGTGTCCCTGCTGCCCCCTGCTGGAGGGACTGGGCCCTGCTCTGTGTGTGTGTGTGTGTGTGTGTGTGTGTCCCTGCTGCCCCCTGCTGGAGGGACTGGGCCCTGCTCTGTGTGTGTGTGTGTGTGTGTGTGTGTGTGTCCCTGCTGCCCCCTGCTGGAGGGGCTGGGCCCTGCTCTGTGTGTGTGTGTGTGTGTGTGTGTGTCCCTGCTGCCCCCTGCTGGAGGGACTGGGCCCTGCTCTCTGTGTGTGTGTGTGTCCCTGCTGCCCCCTGCTGGAGGGGCTGGGCCCTGCTGTGTGTGTGTGTGTCCCTGCTGCCCCCTGCTGGAGGGGCTGGGCCCTGCTCTGTGTGTGTGTTACCCTGGGTTCCCACAGACCCAAGCAGTGATCCCCTCCCCTCTTCTTCTTACTACCCCTCCCCTGGGAAAAAAACCTGCCAACCCCCCCTTGTTCCATGGAGATTGAAGGGCCTGTTCTCAGAGCCTCCTGTCTGGTGACTTATTCCCCCCCCCCAGAGGGCCCCCTATCCCCACACTCCCCTCAAGTGTGCATCAAAGGACTCCTGGGTTCAATCCCCAGCCCTGGGAGGAGAGTGGGGGCTAGTGGTTAGAGCAGGGGGGGGCTGGGAGCCCAGACTCCTGGGTTCTCTGTCCGGCTCTGGGAGGGGAGTGGGAGAGCAGGTGGGGTGGGGCAGGACTCCTGGGGTCTATACTCAGGGGTTTCCCTTGCTAAGCAGGTTGGGGGGTGGTTGGGGCTCGGATGGGAGACCCCGGGGGCAGCTGAGGGCGCTGGCGGGGGGGGGGGTTCGCAGGCTGCAGGGAGGAACTGACACAGAGGATGTGGGGATGGTGCAATGGGCCCTTGCTGCATCCCTGCCCCTCCCAGGAAGCCACCCGGGAGCAAGAGGCCCCATGGGGGGGTCAGGGCTGGAGCCGGAGCCAACCCTGCGAGGGAGCAGGCAACGCAGAGCAGGTGAAGGGGGAGCTTGGGATGGGGGGGTTCGAGTGTCTGTCTGGACCCACAACCCCTTCTGGCCCGCCCCAACCCTGCCCCCATCCGGCCAGCCCTAAACCCCCACCTCCATCCGCAAACGTACCCACCCTCCAGCCACCCCCCACACACCCCTCTGCCCCTCTGTCCAGCCAGCCCCAAACCCCCACCTCCATCCGCAAACGTACCCACCCTCCAGCCACCCCACACACACCCCTCTGCCCCTCTGTCCAGCCAGCCCCAAACCCCCACCTTCATCTGCAAACGTACCCACCCTCCAGCCACCCCCCCCCACACCCCTCTGCCCCTCTGTCCAGCCAGCCCCAAACCCCCACCTCCACCCACAAACGTACCCACCCTCCAGCCACCCCCCACACACCCCTCTGCCCCTCTGTCCAGCCAGCCCCAAACCCCCACCTTCATCTGCAAACGTACCCACCCTCCAGCCACCCCCACACACACCCCTCTGCCCCTCTGTCCAGCCAGCCCCAAACCCCCACCTCCATCCACAAACGTACCCACCCTCCAGCCACCCCCACACCTCTCTGTCCGTCCATCCCCCCACACACCCCTCTGCCCCTCTGTCCAGCCAGCCCCAAACCCCCACCTCCATCTGCAAACGTACCCACCCTCCAGCCACCCCCCCACACACCCCTCTGTCCAGCCAGCCCCAAACCCCCACCTCCATCTGCAAACGTACCCACCCTCCAGCCACCCCCCCACACACCCCTCTGCCCCTCTGTCCAGCCAGCCCCAAACCCCCACCTCCATCCACAAACGTACCCACCCTCCAGCCACCCCCCCCACACACCCCTCTGCCCCTCTGTCCAGCCAGCCCCAAACCCCCACCTCCATCCACAAACGTACCCACCCTCCAGCCACCCCCCCACACACCCCTCTGTCCAGCCAGCCCCAAACCCCCACCTTCATCTGCAAACGTACCCACCCTCCAGCCACCCCCACACACCTCTCTGCCCCTCTGTCCAGCCAGCCCCAAACCCCCACCTCCATCCACAAACGTACCCACCCTCCAGCCACCCCCCCACACCTCTCTGTCCGTCCATCCCCCCACACACCCCTCTGCCCCTCTGTCCAGCCAGCCCCAAACCCCCACCTCCATCCACAAACGTACCCACCCTCCAGCCACCCCCCACACACCTCTCTGCCCCTCTGTCCAGCCAGCCCCAAACCCCCACCTCCATCCACAAACGTACCCACCCTCCAGCCACCCCCCCACACACCCCTCTGCCCCTCTGTCCAGCCAGCCCCAAAGCCACACCTCCATCCGCAAACGTACCCATCCTCCAGCCACCCCCACACCTCTCTGTCCGTCCATCCCCCCACACACCCCTCTGCCCCTCTGTCCAGCCAGCCCCAAACCCCCCACCTCCATCCGCAAATGTACCCACCCTCCAGCCACCCCCCCCACACGCCCCTCTGTCCAGCCAGCCCCAAACCCCCACCTCCATCTGCAAACGTACCCACCCTCCAGCCACCCCCCCACACCTCTCTGTCCGTCCATCCCCCCACACACCCCTCTGCCCCTCTGTCCAGCCAGCCCCAAACCCCCACCTCCATCCGCAAACGTACCCATCCTCCAGCCATCCCCCCCACCCCTCTGTCTGTCCCTCCCCTCACACACCCCTATGTCCAACCAACCCCCACCTCTGTCCACAAATATACCCACCCACTGGCCATCCCCCCGACACCACTCCATCCATTCATGCATCCCCTCACACACATCCCATCTGTCCAGCCATCCCCTCGCCCTCCATCCATACATCTGTCCACCCCCACACACCCCTCTGTCCGTCCATCCATCCCCAAACATCCCTCTCTCTAAGCTGCGGGTCTCACCCTCCATCTCTCGGGCTGTGATTTGGGTGTGGTCCTGCCCCCCACCCTGCCCCATAGCACATGGTTAGTGGGTGTCGGGTTTCCTCTTCCTCCCCCTTCGGTTCGTCTTTCCCCCTCACTGGGACGAGTGGGCACAGGGACCCCGGGGCCCAGCCCAGCTTTCCGCCCCTCCCCCGCACCCGCCCCTCACAGAGACCCCCTGGTTATACTGGGACCCCTCGCCCGGCACTGAGACCCCTGAATGGCAGGTGCCCAGCCCACCTAGAGCACCCCCTTTGGGAACCTCAACCTGTCCCACCCCCCGCCCCATCCATCCATCCCTCCCCACCCCATACACACCTCACCCCATCCATCCATTCCTCCCCACACACCCCACCCTATCCAGCCCTCCAGGGCTCCCTCACCCCATCCCTCCCCACACGCCCCACCCCCCACACATCTCACCCCATTCCTCCATCCTTCCCCACCCCCCCCATCCACCGCATCCCATCCCTCCCCACACGCCCCACCCCATCCATCCCTCCAGCCCTCCCTCCCCACACACCCCAGCCCTCCAGGCCTCCCTCCCCACCCCCCACTCCCCCCACACCTCCCCCATCCCTCCATCCCTCCCCACACGCCCCACCCCACACACATCTCACCCCATTCGACATCCTTCCCCACCCCCCCATCCACCGCATCCCATCCCTCCCCATATCTCCCACCCCACAAACATATCACCCCATTCCTCCATCCCTCCCCACACACCCCATCCCATTCCTCCCTACACACACCCTGTCAGGGCTGAATCCCCACTCTGTCACTCCGAGTGCAGAAGTGGGGGCCCCGCAAGGATTTTAAAAGTTAATAGTGGCCACCCCCCAGGCTGGCATTAAACCCCCGGGGTTGCAGCTTCTCTCTCTGACCTTGGCTCGCTGAACGCTGCCAGCACCCAAATGCAAGAAACCCCCCTTGGACCCAGGAAGGCGCCCTGGGGAATCCCTCCCCGTGGGGCGCCCTCGAGCCCTTTCACCCCCCTCCGGGGAAGAGCTGAGACAGAAAACAAAGGCGATGAGCAGGGGCTATCAGCCAATTAAGCAACATGGGCACAAACCTCTTAGGGACACCAAAAAATCGGATCCTGTTCTGAAAAAAGGTAAATTTTATTAAAAAAATCCCCCAAACATCTGGATTTTAGGCTTTTGCTCGATTTTAAAGGAGCCATTCCAAACCCAAGCACCCAAACGAGCGTCCTTGGGGGTTCAGCGTAAAGGTTACAAGCCAACAAAAGCAACTGGGGTTAGCACAGAGGAGTCCACGAGCCAAACCGAAAGAAAAGAAATAACCCTGATCCCGTCTAGCTAAACCTTGTGATCCACCGGCACGTGGAGTCCAGAGAGGTCGATCTGGGCGTGATCGGCTCATACCTGGCTTCGCGGCTCATGGCAGGGCTGCTCCGTCCCTCCAGCCCCAGAGAACAGACAAAAGGAAAGTTTCTTTCCCAATTTTAAAAAAGTTTGACCTTCCCCTTGGCCCTGTGGGCCAGGCGCCCCCTTTCCCTTCTTGACCTGGGGGACTTTTTACTCCTTTACAGGTAAAGCAAGTCGAGGACAGCTACCAAGAGGGATTTGACAGGTTGGCTGGGTGGGTGTCCATCAAAGGGAGCTACCCCCCCCCTCTTATTTATCACACACCCCGTCCATCCCTCCAGCTCTCCCCCACACCTCCAACCCTCCCCACACGCCCCACCCCCTCCCTCCATTCCTCCCCCCACACACCCCATCCATCCCTCCAGCTCTCCCCCACACCTCCAACCCTCCCCACACGCCCCACCTCCTCCCTCCATTCCTCCCCCCACACACCCCATCCAGCCCTCCCCCACACCTCCAGCCCTCCCCACACACACCCCATCCATCCCTCCAGCCCTCCCCACACGCCCTGATCCCATCCCTCTCCCCACCCTCCCTCCACCCTCCCCACACACCCTGCCCCCTCCCTCCCTCCTGCCCCACCCACCCCCTTCCCATCCCTCTCCCCACCCTCCCCACACACCCTGCCCCCTCCCTCCCTCCATCCTTCCCCACCCACCCCCTTCCCATCCCTCTCCCCACCTACCATCCACCCTCCCCACACACATTGTCCCATCCCTCCCCACATATCCATCCCTCCTCCCCCACCCACACCCCATCCTCCATCCCTCCCCACACACCCCCATCCCTCCCCATGCACATCCCTCTGTCCATCCCTCCCTTCCCACACGCCCCACCCCATCCCTCCTTCTCCATACACACACCCTCTACCCCTCCCCACACCCCATCCATCCATCTGTCCATCCCCACTCCTCCATCCACCTCTCCCCACATGCCCCGCCCCATCCCTCCATCCGTCCCACACGCACCCATCGACCTGGATCCATCTGTGGAGCGGCCTGAGGTCCAGGCCCCAAGGCTCTGGTTCAGCCCAGCTGCTCTGGGCCGGGATTTGCTTCTGACTCATTCCCCACCCCCAGCTGCTTCCCGGATCCCAGCGCTGCCCCCCACGCGATGGCGTCTCCCCGGATCCTCAGCACCGTCCTGGCCCTGCTCAGCCTCCTGCTGCTGCTGGTGGCCCTGGGCTCCGACCACTGGCTGGTGGACGATGCCGTCCTCGAGTCCCTCCATGAGGGGCTGTGGAAGAGCTGCCTGAATTCGGTGTGTGGACAAATTTCTTCAGCATCAGGTAAGGGCAGCCCGGCTCCGCCAGGGATCCCACCTCTGCCACCAACCAGCACCTTCGGGCAGGTCTGTCCCTGGCTGTGGGAGGGGAATGGGGGCTAGTGGTTAGAGCAGGGGGGGTTGGGTGGCAGGACTCCTGGGTTCTCTGACCAGTTCAATGCAGTGTTGTTTATTTAACCCGGTCCTTTGCTACAGTCTCTTTAAAGGTCACCAGGGTTTTCACAGTGCTGGGCGTGATCGCTGGGTCGGTCTCCTCGTTCGCTCTTCTCGCCTCGTTCCTGCACTCCCACCCCGGCTCCGTGTCCCTGACCTTGGTCTCCTTCCTGGGCAGCTTCAGTGCGGGTACGTCCCCCCTTCCGCCCTCCCGCGGGAACTCATCTTCCCCCGCCCACAGCCAGAGGAGGGGAACTGAGCCCCAGCCGCCCCCGTCCCAGAATCCTGCCCTGGGCTCTGGCAGCTCCCCCCGGTGGTGGGACGGGGCAGGGGCTGGGACTGTGCGTGGGCCGCCCTAAGGGGTGTCCGTCCTGTTCCCTTTGCCCCAGGGCTCTGTGCCATGATCGCGCTGGCCGTGTACACAGGGGAGTTCGCTGGGGCCGTGAACGCCGTCCAGCGCCAAGTCACCTTCGGCTGGTCCTTCGGCCTCGGCTGGGCCTCCTTCCCCCTCTTCCTCATCACCGGTGAGTGCAACATAGGGGAGTGTCGAAAGGCAGCTGCCTCTGGGGTGGGGCGCAGGGGCTGGTGATACAGGAACCCCTCGCCCGGCGCTGAGATGCAGCCACCTCTGGGGTGGGGGGCTGCGTACCAGTAGATGATGCTCCCATTGCTGCTCTGAGCCCATTTCTCTTCTCTCCCCCCAGGTGTGGTGACGCTTCGTATCCTGAGAGTCTCCTAGAGCCGAGTGTGGGGCCCACGGTGGCACCAAGGATGGGGCCGGGAGCCTAGTGGGCCGGATGGAGCCTGCAGTGTCCTGGGACCTATTCCCCCAACAGCCACGAGCAGGGGGCAGTGTGTGTGTGTGTGTGTGAGAGAGAGGGTCCCTACTGCACCCTGCTGGACCCCCCAGCAATGAGCCCCCCCCCCTTGTTCCATGGAGATTAAAGATCCTGTTCTCTAAGACTCCTCTCTGGTGGTTTAATCCCCCCCCCCCATGACCCCCAGACTCCCCTCCCATGTCCATCAAAGGTCTTCTGGGTTCTCTCCCTGGCAGTAGGAAGGGAGTGGGGTCTGGTAATTAGAGCTGGGCGGGGGCTGGGAGTCAGGACTCCTGGGTTCTCTCCCTGGCTGTAGGAAGGGAGTGGGGTCTGGTAATTAGAGCAGGGGGGCTGGGAGTCAGAACTCCTGGGTTCTCTCCCTGGCAGTAGGAGGGGAGTGGGGTCTGGTAATTAGAGCAGGGGGGCTGGGAGTCAGGACTCCTGGGTTCTCTCCCTGGCAGTAGGAAGGGAGTGGGGTCTGGTAATTAGAGCAGGGGGGCTGGGAGTCAGGACTCCTGGGTTCTCTCCCTGGCAGTAGGAGGGGAGTGGGGTCTGGTAATTAGAGCAGGGGGGCTGGGAGTCAGGACTCCTGGGTTCTCTCCCTGGCAGTAGGAAGGGAGTGGGGTCTGGTAATTAGAGCAGGGGGGCTGGGAGTCAGGACTCCTGGGTTCTCTCCCTGGCAGTAGGAGGGGAGTGGGGTCTGGTAATTAGAGCTGGGCGGGGGCTGGGAGTCAGGACTCCTGGGTTCTCTCCCTGGCTGTAGGAGGGGAGTGGGGTCTGGTAGTCAGGACTCCTGGGTTCTCTCCCTGGCTGTAGGAAGGGAGTGGGGTCTGGGGCTTAAAGCAGGGGGTCTAGGAGCCAGGACGGCTGCTGGGCAGGGGATGGGACACGAGGTCTTTCCCTGCTAGGGGGCGCCAGCTCCCATCCAGGAAGTGGGGGTGGGGGAGGGGGCAGAATCTGGCTGGCTCTAGGGCGAGGAATGGCCTAGTTACCATAATTACTCACAGAGACGTGCAACCCCACAATAAGCCACCCATCTAATGTAGCTCTGTGCCGCCCCCCCCCCCACTCCACAGCGCCCATTGTTGTCGTATCTACTCACACACACACACACACACACACACACAGGCTCAATTCTAACCTACCCACAGGCCGTGTCCCAGTCGCTACCATATTGACTGGCATACGATCGCCAGCTCCATTATAAGCCGCCCACCTGACAGAAGTTCGAGGAGGGAGGTGACCTTTTGGGGGGCTTCCCACTGGCGTCTGGGGGGCATTTGCTGCCCCCTGCTGTCTGCAGGTGGGAATCCTGCCTGCCCCCCACTACGGCCACAGGCTCTGTGAGTCCCCACACTTCCCTCTGCCACCTGCCCATCTTGGCTAACAGCTGCTATTGGACGGATCCTCCAGGAACTTGTCATCCTTTTTTGAAGCCAGTTCTAGGTTTGGTCCTCACAACAGCCCCCGGGCAAGGAGTTCCACAGGTTAACGGCGTGGCGGTGGGGGGGGTGAGAAACAGTTCTTTGTGTAGTTTGCATTAAACCTGCCATCTGTTCATTTTGCCAGGTGCCCCCTGGTTCGCGTGTTATGTGACGGGAGGAGGGGGCCCCCGGCTGCAAGGACAGCCAGCCTGTGAAACGTACCACAGCTTTGGGTGCGACAAATCGGTCGCTTTGCTGTTGATTTAGCCGGTGACCTTAGCTGTGAGTTTGCCCAGCTGACCTTTTGATTTCCTCTGTACCCAACGCTGACTTTCAGGCCTCGTCACTGAGCAGCTGCCGTGCCGGAGTGAATCCAGTCGCGTTCGTGTTCCCTCGACGCCGGCGTGTGTGGGAACCGGGGCTGGGGACTACGGCGCTGGGGCAGGACGCTGGCCTTTGCTGAGCTGACGGACCCGTACGGCACCGGGCGCGGACTGGGCCGTGCACGCCGCAGATCTCCAGCAGGGAGCGGGGAGGGATCGAGCACTTGCTGGGGTTGCTCTGAAGTTTAATTCGGGAGTAGCCGGGTGGTGAAGCCAGCCACAGGCTGGAGGCCGGGTGTGGGCAGAGGCCGGGGGGCAGTTTGCCAGCAAAGCAGCATCTTGGGCTGGAAGGTGGAGGGGACACGGCTGCTCACCAGCCAAGCTCGCACCCCGGAAAACCTCACCCCAGTCAGCCAGGCACATTTCCAGCAGCTGGTGTGAAAACCAGGGCCGGGGTGTGGGAGAGGCCCAGGGGCTGAGCGCACAGGCGGTGGGGGAGGGACGCAGGGAGAGGGCCCTGCCCCCAGCTCTGTGTGCGCATGGATGGGGGCAGGCAGGACGCTGGACTTCAGGGGCCCGTGGGTCAGTGCTGTGTAGGGCTGGGCGGTTTGGGCAGGAAGTGGTTTCCCTCTGGGAGGTGGGAGTTGCAGTGGCTCTGGTTCGGCACCCGCTCAGTTCTGGGCTGGGCGCAGAATCACCCGGGCGCTGGGTAAGTACAGACAGACCCTGTGTGTGAGTCCCAGCCCCGGTCCACTCTAACCACTCATCCCCAGTCCCCTCCCCGAGCCAGGGCTAGAACCCAGGAGTCCTGGCTCCCAGCCCCACCCCCCCCAGCGCTAACCACTAGACCCCGCTCCCCTGCTCTGCAAAGTCATTTCCCCACCCTCTTTCCCACCATGCAGCGATCTGGGACCCGCTGAGAGGAGCAAATCGCGGAGCCCGTGAGTCCAGGCGCTGGCAGCCCCCCGGGAGCTGCTGAGCGGGAGGGTGTGGGTGCACGGAGCCAGCCAGATGCCCCCTTCCACCAAGCTCTGCATTGAAATCATCCTCGCACTGCTCTGCCAGGGTAAGAGAACAACAGCAGAGACAGCTGGGCCGGCAGGAATCCCCCAGAGCTGGGGATGGAACCCAGGAGTCCTGGTCCCAGTCCCCCCTCCTCTAACCCACTAGACTCCACTCCCCTCCCCTCCCAGAGCGGGGGATAGAACCCAGGAGTCCTGGCTCCCAGCCCCCCTCCCCCAACCCACTAGACTCCACTCCACTCCCCTCCCAGAGCGGGGGATAGAACCCAGGAGTCCTGGCTCCCAGCCCCCCTCCCCCAACCCACTAGACTCCACTCCACTCCACTCCCCTCCCAGAGCTGGGGATGGAACCCAGGAGTCCTGGCTCCCAGTCTCCCCCTCCCTACTAGACTCCAATCCCCTTCCATTCCCTCCCATAGCCAGGGATAGAACCCAGGAGTCCTGGTCCCAGCCCCCCCTCCTCTAACCCACTGGACCCCACTCCGCTCTCTGCTTTTCCCCGCTCTGTCAGTGAGACGCTTTGCGGCAAGAGGTGCCCCAGGGGCTTCTTTTGTAAGGTCACTACATGGGAAACGTTTGAGCCACAAACATGGAGAACTGCCCCTAGGTTGCGGTTTCTTCAGTCGGCGGCTTGGTTTGTGCTTTGGGCCGTTCGGACGTCGATGCCCCACTTGAACCTGCGGGGGGCGGGTTGGTGCCATCTTGGGTTCCTGGGATGTTCCTCCCCTGGTTTGGCTTCAACACTGGGGGGCGATGGGGGATTTCGGGGGGTGGCAGGGAAATCCCTGAGACTGGACAAATAAATTACGGTTTGGGGAATTACAGGGGCTCTGGCAACGCTATGGGGTGGGGGGAACCCAGGGCTGGGCTAGCAGGGGGCTGTGGGTCGGGGCTGAGGGGCACGGGCAGAGCTCTGTGTGGGGGCGGGGGTGGATCGGGGGCTGTGGGTCGGGGCTGAGGGGCACGGGCAGAGCTCTGTGTGGGGCGGGGGTGGATCGGGGGGCTGTGGGTCGGGGCTGAGGGGCACGGGCAGAGCTCTGTGTGGGGCTGGGGTGGATCGGGGGCGCGGGTGGGGACTGAGGGGCACGGGCAGAGTTCTGTGTGGGGCTGGGGTGGATCGGGGGCGCGGGTGGGGACTGAGGGGCACGGGCAGAGCTCTGTGTGGGGCGGGGGCGGATCGGGGGCGCGGGTGGGGACTGAGGGGCACGGGCAGAGCTCTGTGTGGGGCGGGGATGGATCGGGGGCGCGGGTGGGGACTGAGGGGCACGGGCAGAGCTCTGTGTGGGGCGGGGGTGGATCGGGGGGCACGGGTGGGGACTGAGGGGCACGGGCAGAGCTCTGTGTGGGGCGGGGGTGGATCGGGGGCCGCGGGTGGGGACTGAGGGGGCACGGGCAGAGCTCTGTGTGGGGCGGGGGTGGATCGGGGGGCACGGGTGGGGACTGAGGGGCACGGGCAGAGCTCTGTGTGGGGCGGGGGTGGATCGGGGGGCGCGGGTCGGGCCTGAGGAGCACGGGCAGAGCTCTGTGTGGGGCGGGGGTGGATCGGGGGCGCGGGTGGGGACTGAGGGGCACGGGCAGAGCTCTGTGTGGGGCGGGGGTGGATCGGGGGGCGCGGGTGGGGACTGAGGGGCACGGGCAGAGCTCTGTGTGGGGCGGGGGTGGATCGGGGGGCGCGGGTGGGGACTGAGGGGCACGGGCAGAGCTCTGTGTGGGGCGGGGGTGGATCGGGGGGCGCGGGTCGGGCCTGAGGGGCACGGGCAGAGCTCTGTGTGGGGCGGGGGTGGATCGGGGGGGCACGGGTCGGGCCTGAGGGGCACCGGCAAAGCTGGTCTGTTTCCCCGGCAAGTCGGCTCTGCCAGGAGCCCGTCTATCGGATCCACGTCCCGTCCCGTGTCACGGCCCAGCAGGGTCTCTGCGTCCTGCTCCCCTGTAATTTCACAGCCAAGTTCGAGTCCTCTGGGGTCACCTACAAATACTGGTTCCTTAAGGACGACAACAGGGACACTGGCCCGGCCGTGGCCACCACAGATCCTGGCAGGGCCCTTCGGGAGCCTGGGTGCTGGATCCGCATGGTGGGGGACACCCCAGACAACTGCTCCCTGAGCATCAGCAACATGAGGGCCCGAGACAGGGCCCACTACTACTTCCGCTTCATGAAGGGAGACTTTCAGTACAGCTACATGGAGGCCCAACCGCCGGTGGACGTGACAGGTGAGGCCGGCGGGTCCTGGAGAGCTCAGCAGTATTAACTCTGCTTATAGCCAGTGGCAGGGAGTTCTGGAGATTAACAACATCCAGTGGCAGGGAGTCCCACTGGTTAAGCCCACTAATACCCAGTGGCAATGAGTTCCGGGGATTAACCCCAGTAATTCCCCACTGAGTTGAATTTTAATGGTGTGGTCTGCTTCGAGCTGATGGAGCGGCTGGTGCCGGGGGTCCCCAAGGTGCTGCTGTCCGGACAGCTGGTGAATGTGACCTGCCAGGCTCCGGGGACCTGCTCTGGGACCCCTCCCCAAATCACCTGGACCGTGGGGTTCGACAATACAGCCAGGAACGTCTCGGTCACCCTGGAGAACGGCAGCTTCTTGTACACCTCCGTGCTTAGTTTCACGCCGGCCCTGGGGGATGACAGCAAAGAGCTCGTCTCCGCCATCATGTACCCCGCCGTGGTCGGGGTCTCCACCCGCAGAGCTGTCCGGCTCCACGTCCACTGTCAGTGACGCTGATCCAGCTCCAGCAGGGGAGCGGGGTGTAGTGGTTAGAGGTGGGTCAGTGCAGCGGTGGGTGGGGCGGCTGGCAGCAAGGATTCCTGGGTTCTATCCCTGGCTCTGGGAGGGGTGTGGGGTCTAGTGGCAGGGGGATGGGCTGAGAGCCAGGACTCCTGGGTTCTATAGGAGGGCAGTGGGGTTCCAGGAGGCACGGCCCCCCACACATCCCATGTCCTGTTGCAGACCCGCCGAAGCTGCTGCCATGGGGGAACTGCACGGTACGGGGCAGCGGGCCCGGGGGGGAGGCCACGTGTCACTGCGCGGCCGAGGGGAACCCCCCGCCCCGCCTCGAGTGGCCCCTGCCCAACTGCACCCTCCCCGGGGACTTCGAGGGCCCAGAGCTGCGGGCAACTTCGTGGGCGCAGGGCCCCGTCGTGAGCGGGGAGCTGTGGGGCCCGGCCGGGGGGCTGGGCATGGGATCCAGTTTTGCCATTAGCAAAAAACAGTGGCCTGTTCGTCTTCAGCCAGAGATGTATATGTGAGGAAATACTGTGCTATGTGCCAGCCACTTAGACAGATGGCAGCCCAGGTATAAGACACACAGTTCCCACCTGCCCCCTTTCCCCCCATGCCTCCCTGGAGAGGTGGGCAAGGAGGCTCAGTCCCCATGGCTAGGCCAGCCCTCGACGGCTCTCCCCGTCAGGGGACCCTGCCCTACGCCGTACCCACAAGTTCATTACAAGCCCTGAAGGGCCCATTGCTGCCCAGCCGATCCCACCGCTCACACCAGCTGTTGGTTTGCAGCAGGCTTCTCCCTGACACACATGGTGGCCTTGACAGCTTGTGGAAGCCTTGTGCTAGTTGGTGCCGGGGCTGCAGTGGCCTGGAAAGTCGTGAAGAGAAGGTAAAACTCAGGCGGGACGGGAGAAGGATCTGGTGGGAACCGTAGCCTGGAATGGGGGAATAAATAGATCCCCCAAGATCAACTATCACTTCTTGGAAGTGTGAAATTCCACCTGCTGCCCTAAATCCCGACCCCCAGCCCCCTGCTATGCCAGCCCTGAGCTTGCCCCCCCCCCCAGCTCTGCCGGGGCCCCTCACTCCCGACCCACATCCCCCTGCTAGCCCAGCCCTGGCCTCCCACCAGCGCTGCCGGTGCCCCTCGCTCCTGACCCGCACCCCCTGCTAGCCCAGCCCTGGGTGTCCCCGACATGCAGCTCTGGGATGGCGGTCGGGGCAGGGAAGAGATATTGGGATAGATGGACCACGGGTCCCATTGGGGTAGGAGGAAGGAGGCGGGACACCAGGCTGGATGGGCCTAGAGGCGGGATACTGATGATAGTTTCATCCCAGGCAGCGGGGCAGGGGCCCCGCCATGGCCGGACGGTGCCAAGGGACCGGAGATGGGCAGGTCTGTCACTCCTGTGAGCATCCAGCTTCCACGGTGCCCTCCAGTGGGTTATCCCAGACCCTGACCCCATCCCTTATCCCCATCCCCCACCCTGCTGGGAGTCCTCCCCCCGCTCCACATGGGCTCTGGGACTCCCTCCCCCGCTCCCAGAATCACCCTCTGCTGGGATTTCCCCACTCCAGCGCTCCCCACCGGCATCCCCACCCATCCTTTCCCCTGGGCATGGCGCCCACTCTTCCCAGCTAACCCGGTCTGTCCCCGCACAGGACGTCACTGGGGAAAGGGGAGCCCCTGAGAAGAAAGGGAGGGGAGGAGGAGGAGCGGGAAGAGGCTACAGGGAGAAAGGCGACAGGGAACGATTCACACAGGAAACCATCTACGCCAGACAAGGGGACAGGCTCATTGCAGGCAGTGAGCTAAAGAGAGACTGGGGTCAGCGGTGGGATAGCCGGCTTGCCTTGTGGCTAGCCTGGGACGCCGGACACCTGGGACCTACGCCCAGCTCTACTCCAGAATGCCTCTGTGACCCTGGGCAAGTCCGCACCCCCCTCTGTGCCTCAGTTTCCCAGCTGTAAAATGAGGAGTATAACATTCCACTTGCCTACTTGCGCTGTGAGATGGTCTCTTGCCTACTCGGTGGAGATGGTCTCTCGCTGTCTGTGGGCAGCACCTGGCAGAACCGGGCCCTGATCTCAGCGGGGGCAGGGCCTGTCTCTGGCTGTGTCTGGGCTGTGCCCCCCCCCTCAGCTGGGGGCCACTCTGGGCTCTGCTAATACACCTGGGAGGCAGCTACTGCTCCAGACAGTTATGTGGAGCAGGCCGGCCTGTGTTAACCCTTTCGCTGCTGCAGCTAAATAAAAGCCATTTCCAGCTTCTCCCCGGGCTGAAAAGTTTGAGGTTGCCTCAGTTTCCCTCAGGGGTTCCCCTCGCTCTTCGAGCCGCTCGCCTGTGGCTGGACACTCACCGCCCAGGCCCGAGGGGAACCAAAGCACTGGGAAGAGGGTGATGAGAGAGAGCGGCCGGTGCCGCGATTCAGCCACCTCTGGGGTGGGACAGCTGGGGACCAGCCGCCCAGCCCTGGCACACGGCTCGCCCGGCTCTGAGCCGCGGCCTCCTCTGTAGCGTCCTGGTTAGAATGAGGGGGGAAGGGAGGGAGCCAGGACTCCTGGGTTCTGTCCCTGGCTCTGGCAGGGGGGTGGGGTCTCGGGATTTAGAGCAGGGGCAGCTGGGAGCCAGGACTCCTGGGTCCAATTCAGTACCGAGGACGACACGCTCCCGACTTGAAAACCCAGGTTTAATGGCCAATAACAAACAGAGACGGAAGCAAAGGAAGCAATAAATAAGGCGGGTTTGGGGGCGGGGGGTCCGGGCGGAGTCGCGGCCGGGAGCTGGGGCCGGGAGCCGGGCCGGGCCGGGGGTGACGGCGCCCCCTAGCGGTGCGCGGCGGGCTCAGGTGTGGCAGCAGAAGCCGCAGCCCGGGTTCATAGAATCATAGAATCATAGAATCTCAGGGTTGGAAGGGACCCCAGAAGGTCATCTAGTCCAACCCCCTGCTCGAAGCAGGACCAATTCCCAGTTAAATCATCCCAGCCAGGGCTTTGTCAAGCCTGACCTTAAAAACCTCTAAGGAAGGAGATTCTACCACCTCCCTAGGTAACGCATTCCAGTGTTTCACCACCCTCTTAGTGAAAAAGTTTTTCCTAATATCCAATCTAAACCTCCCCCACTGCAACTTGAGACCATTACTCCTCGTTCTGTCATCTGCTACCATTGAGAACAGTCTAGAGCCATCCTCTTTGGAACCCCCTTTCAGGTAGTTGAAAGCAGCTATCAAATCCCCCCTCATTCTTCTCTTCTGCAGGCTAAACAATCCCAGCTCCCTCAGCCTCTCCTCATAACTCATGTGTTCCAGTCCCCTAATCATTTTTGTTGCCCTTCGCTGGACTCTCTCCAATTTATCCACATCCTTCTTGAAGTGTGGGGCCCAAAACTGGACACAGTACTCCAGATGAGGCCTCACCAATGTCGAATAGAGGGGAACGATCACGTCCCTCGATCTGCTCGCTATGCCCCTACTTATACATCCCAAAATGCCATTGGCCTTCTTGGCAACAAGGGCACACTGCTGACTCATATCCAGCTTCTCGTCCACTGTCACCCCTAGGTCCTTTTCCGCAGAACTGCTGCCTAGCCATTCAGTCCCTAGTCTGTAGCTGTGCATTGGGTTCTTCCGTCCTAAGTGCAGGACCCTGCACTTATCCTTATTGAACCTCATCAGATTTCAGGGTTCCGGCAGCACTTGCAGCAGAAGGTGCAGATCGGGAAGTGGCTGTTGAAGCGCTTGGCGCGGCGGAGCGGGGCCTGCGGGGGGAGAAGAAGGTCAGGACTCCTGGGTTCAATCTCCAGCGAGGGCGGGGGGGAGTGAGGTGTAGTGGTTGCGGGGCTGGGAGCCAGGACTCCTGGGTTCTCTCTGCGGCTCTGGGCGGGGAGCAGGGTCTAGTGGTTGGGGAGTGGGGGGCTGGGAGCCAGGACTCCTGGGTTCTCTCTGTGGCTCTGGGCGGGGAGCGAGGTCTAGTGGTTGGGGAGTGGGGGGCTGGGAGCCAGGACTCCTGTGTTCTTTCTGCGGCTCTGGGCAGGGAGCGGGGTCTAGTGGTTGGGGAGTGGGGGGCTGGAAGCCAGGACTCCTGGGTTCTCTCTGTGGCTCTGGGCGGGGAGCGGGGTCTAGTGGTTGGGGAGTGGGGGGCTGGGAGCCAGGACTCCTGGGTTTCTAGCCCCAGGCCTGCCACAAGGGAAGTGCCGTGGCTCATTAATAGGCCTAGTGTCTGGAATTGAGTTAGCCCAGAACCGTCCCGGGGGGCTGTGGGCTCGGGGCTGGGCTCCTGGTCGTGCAGCCTTCGGGGCCAGCCCTGCCTGCCAGGGGAGAGCCCCCCAGTTCCGTTCTTACCTGCGGACCCGGAGTTTCTTCTATGGGCTCCATTTGTTGCCTTAACAAACCAGCAGGATTTGCTGTCTGCAGAGAGAGGGAGAAGACAGACCTGAGCGTTATGTTCGGTGCAGTGGGTTAGAGCAGGGTGGGCTGGGAGCCGGGACAGCTGGTTTTATCCCTGGCTCTAGGAGGGGAGTGGGGTCTAGTGGGTGAGAGGGGGATGGGGCTGGGAATCAGGACTCCTGGGTTCTATCCCCAGTTCTTCCTCGAATTTGCCACACAGATTTCTGCAACTCAGGACATTTATGTTGCATTTTGGTAGACACAATGTAATGCCACCGATTCAGAACGTAAACCTATGGGAAAGGCTGGTGAAAAAGTAGCAAATAAGTTTTAGAAAAGAGTTTTCCTTCAAAAGGCAGTGGGAGAAATATTCCTCGTCACATTTCGTGCCCCTTGTGTAGCCCACCAGTCTTTGCCCCACTAAGAACATTGAGTTAATTCCGGAATAAACGCATTCATATTGTGAAAACAGGAGATTTTGGTTAAAAACCAATCTGGACCATTTGTGGTGTAAAGAAATGGCCATTTACCCCTTCCACAAATCTGTCTGAGATTCCAGACAGACCCTGCAGCTTTCCCAGAGCTTTTCTTGGGCGCAGGTCCAGGGACTGGAATCACATGCATGGGGTGTGTGTGTAGAGACTAGCATTAATCTGAGACGACACAGAAAGAAATCCAGTGCTGGGCAGCGCCCTGAGCTGGGAGTCCAGAAACCTGGGTTCTGTTCCCTGCTCTGAAGCAGCTAGCCCATGTGACCTTGAGCCAGTTACTCGGTGGCTCTGTGCCTCAGTTTCCCCATGCCTGGAAAAAGGGACTGATAATCCTGCCTGCAGCAATGGGGCACTGATCTCAGATGCGAGGGGGACTGTCTCTGGCTGTGTCTGGGCGACACCTGTCACAACGGGGCCCTGATCCCAGCTGGGGCAGGGACGGTCTCTCGCTGTGTATCCGGGCAGCGCCGGGCACAACGGGGCCCTGATCTCCGCTGGGGTGTCTTGGTACAACCATCGTACAAAGGAAAGAACGAGCCTGGGAAGCCTTTACCTGGCCTGGGAAGCAGCAGGAGTTTTTGGCGGAGGGGATGACGAGGATGAGAATCACGCAGGTGACTTGAAGCTTCATCGTGATGTTTTTCTGCCTTGTATTTTTCTGTCTCCTCTTCCCCGCTCCTCTGTCGTGTCTCCAAAGGGCGGAGCTGGTGGCTGTGTTGGGTCCCCGACCCAGGGCTGCGTTTATAGCCCAGCCATCCCCACCCCGGTCCCGGAGCAGCCAATCCCCCGCGTGCCAAGAAAGGACAGGTGAGGAGAGGGAAACCGTAAACAGCCCGTCAATACGGTTATCGCAGCTGGGCTCAAAATTCTAACAAACCATTGGCCGGCTCCGCAGCCTGGGGGCCATTACACCACCGGAGTCACTTGGGGGTACCCCAAGCTTCCCCTGTGACCTGGGCTGCCCCCCTCAGCTCTATCGGGTCCCCTCACCCTACCCTGCTGCCTCCTGCTAGCCCAGCACTGGGTTCCCCCCGTCAGCTCTCCTGGTGCCCCTCACTCCTGACCCACAGCTCCCTGCTAGGTGATGGGGGCAGCAGGGAGCTGGCGGGACACCAGGCTGGATGGGTCTAGAGCCGGGATGTTGATGATGGTTTCACCCCAGGCAGGGCAGCAGGGGCTCCAACGGCACCTGTTACCTCTTGATTATTAAAAAGATTTCTGAATGATCAGGAATGAATACTATCATACAATACAAGGGCAGAGGGGATATTTTATTCTTGGGTTATAAATCTTTTTCCTCTCATAATATAAAACACACATGCTGCTAAGAAGGAAGGTCTTGTGTGTGAGTCACATGCCTGGGCGTGAGCCGATCCATGTTCGATTCCCAGCTTTTCCTCCGAATTCCTGCAACATACCAATTCTTCTCCCTCGCAAGGCACCTCAGAGGAACATCTAGAAGAGATCGCTCTGAAACAGACATCTCCTTGGGCCAACATGACACCCCTATGCCTCATTTTCAATGGACTAGACACATGGCCCCCCAAGAAGTCCAGCGAGCAGGGATAGGGCGTGTGCAGGGCTCACCATCCCGAGAGGCCACGCTGCCATAGTTGCAACCAATGTGGAGAAAGGTGTGAGGGGAACATGACCAAGTCTGCAGCCAGGCACCTTCTGAGGGCATTTGTGCATCAAGGATCCCCAGACCGAGTCCCTGAAGCAGGACGACTTGCAACCACGTCCTCTGTGTCCTAGGGTGCAGGACAACACGAGCCTGTCAGCTGGTGGTTCGAGAGCACGTCACATGCCATTGCATCGACGCACTGATTATTAGACAATCCAGCACCGAAGCGTAACTTCAACCATGGGAGCCGTCCTGCTCTGTGAAAAGTGACTCTCAGGCTTCCGTGCCTGGAGTGTGGGGCCTGGGGAAACGCCGCTGCTCGGGGTGGAGGTCTGGAGCACAATTCCCAGGGCGCTGTGTGTTACAAATCTTTAAGATTAATATTTTTATTGCCAGAGGCGTCCACCAAGTTGGGGCCCCGTTGTGCTAGGAACTAAATTGATACGTAGTAAATGATCGTCCCAGGTGTTTACAGTCTAAAGACAGGATACAAGAGGTGCCTAGGCAAACAACGGGGCAGGTTGTCAGTGGGGCAGACGGCTGTGGGGTGTTTCTTTTAGAATGGAATCCAAATTAATAAATAAAGTCCCTTGACATAGCCTACCAAGGATCAACTTCGCAGCTGACAAATCCCACTCAGTTCGTTGCTCATCTAACTTTCAGCAACTTTCATGAAAATCTAGGCTCTTTATCTCTGAGATTAAAAAACATGTATTTCTCTCTCCCCATCCTCTAAAAACCGAACTACGTGGCGGCTTACTGGATACGAGTTCCTTGTTTTTCATTTGACTTTCAAAATATGCTGTGCAAATATTTGAGCAACAGAATCTCCAAAGGGAGAAAAGGGACAAAAAAAAAATGGTGTTTTTTCCATCCGCAACTTTCAAAATCATTTTCTTTCTTTGTGAATTTTTAACAATCTTAAAGTTAGTAAAACAAGACTTTTTTTAAGATGTGCTGGTTCAAGTAGAAACAAACTCACTTTGGATAAACACATGAAAATACTTTATATTTACTCCTCAACCAGGTCATTGGTCTTTTCTTATGTGAAATCTGAAGAATATTCCCACCTTGCAGGATAAACTATAATCTAGGCAGGGCTTCTTCTGAATTCCGTACCATTGGTCTGGAAGGTAACCAAGATTTTTCACTGGGGGACACAGAATCTGCTTTTCAACCACAAAGCACAAAAGGCCAAAAATGCAATGTGGGGGGATATCAGGTTATTGAAGAACCCTAAATATGCATTTATGAGCCGGCCCCCGTGCACCCCCTGGTTAACCTCGCCACGCGCGGGCTCTGCGGTTCCCTGGAGTGTGAGCCTCTGACGCCGGGGCGAGGGACCCTGAGCCTGATCCGGGGGGGCAGCAGCGGGTCACACTCTCGGGAGCCGCAGAGCCCGAGCGCGACGAGGGGGGAAGCTGGGGGGTGCACGGGGGCCGCCGCCCACATGCATCTGATGCAGCCTGCAGGAGCCCCCCTAGGCGGGTGGGAGGGGCACCGGGCCGCAGCCTGGGCAGGAGGGGAGGGGCGCGGCTGCTCCCAGCTAGCAGCCCCACCGCCTTTGCAGGGCTGCTGCCCCCCTGCACCACGCCGGCTCGTCCATGGCTGGGGCTCACCGCCCCCGCAAGCCTGAGCTCTGGCCCTCTGGTGCCTCTGGAAGGCGGCTCCTCCCTGCCGAGCCAGGACTTCGCTTTCTGGCGCCCCCAACCACATGGCGCCCGAGGTGACCCCTTAGTTCGCCTAGTGGTTTCACTGGCCCTGGGCACCACCAGGCCCTGATCTCAGCTGGGGCAGGGCCTGTCTCTGGCTGTGTCTGGGCCATGCCCCCCCCTCAGCTGGGGGCCACTCTGGGCTCTGCTAATACACCTGGGAGGCAGCTACTGCTCCAGACAGTTATGTGGAGCAGGTCGGCCTGTGTTAACCCTTTCGCTGCTGCAGCTAAATAAAAGCCATTTCCAGCTTCTCCCCGGGCTGAAGAGTTTGAGGTTGCCTCAGTTTCCCTCAGGGGTTCCCCTCGCTCTTCGAGCCGCTCGCCTGTGGCTGGACACTCACCGCCCAGGCCCGAGGGGAACCAAAGCACTGGGAAGAGGGTGATGAGAGAGAGCGGCCGGTGCCGCGATGCAGCCACCTCTGGGGTGGGACAGCTGGGGACCAGCCGCCCAGCCCTGGCACACGGCTCGCCCGGCTCTGAGCCGCGGCCTCCTCTGTAGTGTCCTGGTTAGAATGAGGGGGGAAGGGAGGGAGCCAGGACTCCTGGGTTCTGTCCCTGGCTCTGGCAGGGGGGTGGGGTCTCGGGATTTAGAGCAGGGGCAGCTGGGAGCCAGGACTCCTGGGTCCAATTCAGTACCGAGGACGACACGCTCCCGACTTGAAAACCCAGGTTTAATGGCCCATAACAAACAGAGACGGAAGCAATAAATAAGGCGGGTTTGGGGCGGGGGGTCCGGGCGGAGTCGCGGCCGGGAGCCGGGAGCCGGGGGCTGGGCGGAGTCGCGGCCGGGAGCCGGGAGCCGGGGCCGGGCCGGCCGGGCGGAGTCGCGGCCGGGAGCCGGGAGCCGGGGCCGGCCGGGCGGAGTCGCGGCCGGGAGCCGGGAGCCGGGAGCCGGGAGCCGGAGCCGGGGCCGGGCCGGGCCGGGCCGGGCCGGGCCGGGGGTGACGGCGCCCCCTAGCGGTGCGCGGCGGGCTCAGGTGTGGCAGCAGAAGCCGCAGCCCGGGTTCCGGCAGCACTTGCAGCAGAAGGTGCAGATCGGGAAGTGGCTGTTGAAGCGCTTGGCGCGGCGGAGCGGGGCCTGCGGGGGGAGAAGAAGGTCAGGACTCCTGGGTTCAATCTCCAGCGAGGGCGGGGGGGAGTGAGGTGTAGTGGTTGCGGGGCTGGGAGCCAGGACTCCTGGGTTCTTTCTGCGGCTCTGGGCAGGGAGCGGGGTCTAGTGGTTGGGGAGTGGGGGGCTGGGAGCCAGGACTCCTGGGTTCTCTCTGCGGCTCTGGGCGGGGAGCGGGGTCTAGTGGTTGGGGAGTGGGGGGCTGGGAGCCAGGACTCCTGGGTTCTCTCTGCGGCTCTGGGCGGGGAGCAGGGTCTAGTGGTTGGGGAGTGGGGGGCTGGGAGCCAGGACTCCTGGGTTCTTTCTGCGGCTCTGGGCACGGAGCGGGGTCTAGTGGTTGGGGAGTGGGGGGCTGGGAGCCAGGACTCCTGGGTTCTCTCTGCGGCTCTGGGCGGGGAGCAGGGTTTAGTGGTTGGGGAGTGGGGGGCTGGGAGCCAGGACTCCTGGGTTCTTTCTGCGGCTCTGGGCGGGGAGCGGGGTCTAGTGGTTGGGGAGTGGGGGGCTGGGAGCCAGGACTCCTGGGTTCTCTCTGCGGCTCTGGGCGGGGAGCGGGGTCTAGTGGTTGGGGAGTGGGGGGCTGGGAGCCAGGACTCCTGGGTTTCTAGCTCCAGGCCTGCCACAAGGGAAGTGCGGTGGCTCGTTAACAGGCCTAGTGTCTGGCATTGAGTTCGCCCAGAACCGTCCCGGGGGGCTGTGGGCTCGGGGGCTGGGCTCCTGGTCGTGCAGCCTTTGGGGCCAGCCCTGCCTGCCAGGGGAGAGCCCCCCAGTTCCGTTCTTACCTGCGGACCCGGAGTTTCTTCTATGGGCTCCATTTGTTGCCTTAACAAACCAGCAGGATTTGCTGTCTGCAGAGAGAGGGAGAAGACAGACCTGAGCGTTATGTTCGGTGCAGTGGGTTAGAGCAGGGTGGGCTGGGAGCCGGGACAGCTGGTTTATCCCTGGCTCTAGGAGGGGAGTGGGGTCTAGTGGGTGAGAGGGGGAGGGGGCTGGGAATCAGGACTCCTGGGTTCTATCCCCAGTTCTTCCTCGAATTTGCCACTCAGATTTCTGCAACTCAGGACATTTACGTTGCATTTTGGTAGACACAATGTGATGCCACCAATTCAGAACATAAACCTATGGGAAAGGCTGGTGAAAAAGTAGCAAATAAGTTTTAGAAAAAAATTTGCCTTCAAAAGACAGTGGGAGAAATATTCCTCGTCACATTTCGTGCCCCTTGTGTAGCCCACCAGTCTTTGCCCCACTAAGAACATTGAGTTTGTTCCGGAATAAACTCATCCATATTGTGAAAACAAGAGATTTTGGTTATAAACCAATCTGGACCATTTGTGATGCAAGAGAAATGGCCGTTTCCCCCTTCCACATATCTGTCTGAGATTCCAGACAGGCCCTGCAGCTTTCCCAGAGCTTTTCATGGGCACAGGTCCAGGGACTGGTATGAAGTTCAGGGGATGGGGGGATGTGTGTGCAAAGACGATATGTCAGATGAATCCTAAAGAAATCCAGTGCTGGGCAAGGCCACGAGCTCTGAGTCCAGACACCTGGGTTCTGTTCCCGGCTCTGTAGCAGCGAGCCTATGTGATCTTGAGCCAGTTACTTGGTGGCTCTGTGCCTCAGTTTCCCCATGCCTGGGAAAAGGGACTGATAATCCTGCCTGCAGCAATGGGGCACTGATCTCAGATGCGAGGGGGACTGTCTTTGGCTGTGTCTGGGCAACACCTATCACAACGGGGCCCTGATCCCAGCTGGGGCAGGGACGGTCTCTCGCTGTGTATCCGGGCAGCGCCCGGCACAAAGGGGCCCTGATCTCCGTTGGGACGTCCCGGTACAACCATCGTACAAAGGAAAGAAAGAGCCTGAGAAGCGTTTACCTGGCCTGGGAAGCAGCAGGAGTTTTTGGTGGAGGTGATGACGAGGATGAGAATCACGCAGGCGACTTGAAGCTTCATTGTGGTATTTTTCTGTCTCTTTCCCGCTCCTCTGTCGTGTCTCCAAAGGGCGGAGCTGGTGGCTGTGTTGGGTCCCCGACCCAGGGCTGCGTTTATAGCCCAGCCATCCCCACCCCGGTCCCAGAGCAGCCAATCCCCCGCGTGCCAAGAAAGGACAGGTGAGGAGAGGGAAACTGTAAACAGCCCGTCAATACGGTTATCGCAGCTGGGCTCAAAGTTCCAGCATACCATTGGCCGGCTCCCCAGCCGGTGTCAATGGGGCCAGATCCCAGCAGGTGTCAATCAGCACTGCTCTTTCAAAGTGGAGCGACATTAATTGTCCCAGGCCTTTGACTTTAATCCCTCCTGGCATTTGTCCCAATGAGATTTCAAAACACTTACGGTAAGTTTCACGTTCAGGGTGTCTGTCCCCGCAGCTGAGATCGGAGAGGGGCTGGGATGGGAATGACCTCAGGTTTTCTTGTAAATCTCCCAGGTTTTGCAAATTTTCTCCCAGCCCCAGGATGATCCTGGTGTCAAATGGGGGATTGATCCGGCCAGCTAATTAGGACGCAACATTTTGAAGGGGAAAAATTAACTCTTTATTCTGTTTTCCATCACAGCACTTGTTACGAATGAGCCCTAAATGGGCAACAATCGATTGATCCTAATTACCCGTCATCCCAGAATTTGAACATAACTGTGATGAGCTAGGCACAGCCACCCAGGGCCCGTCTAACCCAGTTTCTCTCTCTTCCCAAACTCACCTTGATCAAGTTCACCCTGGTAATTCTAAATGGGGATTCATATTATCTAGGTAAGCAGCCAAGCCTTATGGTTTTCAGTGCTGCTAAGACGTGGGCCTAAGTGGCTATCATGTGGCAAGGAGTTCTGCAGGTTAATGGCATGTTGAATGGAAAAAGCATTGGGTTAGATCCCTTTTAAACAGGCAAGTTTGGGGCTACATTTCTTCAAAGTGGGTATTTTGATTCCGTTCAAGCGCTAAATGGGGAATCTTCACTCAGTCTCAATTATCAAGCTAGTGATTTCCACAGGAGAGTTTCTTTGACATGCTGCCACTTCCCACTGACATTCAGAGCACCCCACCCCCCGCACAAAACCCTGCCCTAAAAAAGGATCAGACTGTTTATAGCAGGGCTAAAGGATTTTATTGTTGGGGGGGGGGGGTCATGCTGTACGTAACCTGAGTCACTCTGCTGTGTCTTACGCTCCGACTTTGGAAACACTTATGGGTTACTAGACCCACTGGGCCAGATCCCAGCTGGTGTCAATCGTCCGTAGCCCGACTGGAATTAACGGTGCCCGGCCCAATTCCCAGCTGGTGTGAATCAGCCATAGCTCTGCGGAGCTCCACAGAATCGCTCAGCCTTTCCAGACGACCGCTTCCCTTTCAGGTGTCGGCTTTGTCTTGTGCGCCCCCAAGTTTCCCCTCATTTAAAAATGACCTGCTTACAAAATCAGACATCAGAATACAAAATTGTCACAGCACAGTCGTACTGAGAAATTGCTGCCTTTCTCATTTTCACCCTAGACTTTATAAAGTAAATCGTTTGGAATATAAAAATTGTACTTGCATTTCAGAGGACAGTCTATAGAGCAGTTTAAACAAGTCAGTGTCTGTATGAAATTGTAGTTTGTACTGACTTCACTAGTGCTTTTATGAAGCCTGGTGTGAAACCAGGCAAATATCTGGAAGAGTTGACGTACCCCCTGGAAGATCTCTGCGTACCCGCAGGGGTACACGTACCTCAGGTTCAGATGATTGTTGCGGACATGTTTGCAGGATCGGGGCCAAAGTGCAAAGCAAATGTGTTGCTTGTTCTTTGGTAAACGCGTGTGTCACCGCGACTGCTAAGAGCAACTCTTGCCTTTCTGTCCGGTTATTGTCAACAAACAATTTCCAGCGAGGGAAATTTCCTTTCGATGGCCTCAGTTCCGCGAAGCCTGAAGATTTATTGATTAAACAAGATGTTTCTGCAAACGCCCGATATAAAGGAAGGAAGGAAGAAAGAAAAAGAAAGAAAGAGAAAGAAAGAAAGAAATGCTGTCCTCTAAACTCAGAGGATTTGAATGGTATTTTTAATAATCACGTTTAAAAAGAAAATTCCCTGACTTCACAAAGTTACAGCGACAGCTTCGTTAAACAAAAGGCAGAGAGGACATTATCCGACACAACAGCCAAACGTCGATTTATTCCCTTATTTCAATCATTCGCTTCTAGTAATCGCCAAAACTATGAATGGATCGATCAAATGAAAGAGAAATTTCGCTACCTGTATAAAATGACTTCTTGTTTCAAAAAATAATAAAATTATTTAGTTTATTTAAATTTCAATGGGTTAAATTAGTTTGTTTGTTTCTTGTATTTGCCAAAAGCAAATGAACTAATTCAGTTAATAGGCACGCTGTACCTTTTGCCTGTGACTTTTTAAAAGGCAAATGTAGCAAAGGGTTTTCAGTTATTTGATTCTAGGGTTCTTATGCCTAAAGTAATCACATTCGATGAAGAGGTTTATTTATTTTATTGTCTTTAAGAAATTAAATAAAAACTTCCATTCCCAAAGTCTTTCAGTTGTTTGTTTCATTAATTAGTTAAACATGATTATTTTTATTGGCCTGAGAAAAGGAAAAGCTTTAAATGTTTTAGAAAAAAATGATGGGAAATGGAATGTATTCCATGATTCCCATAGTTTAATCGCTAACTAATTAGTGCACGTGCATTGATTATACCCAGGGGATCATTTGAATCGATAGGCAGTGGACATTGACATGATTTCAATTGCATTTTTCTAGTATTTTCAAAAATAATCAGTGTTACATAATAGAAACAATAAATACAAATTTCTAGAACGTTCAATATTAATTATTAAAGTAGTTAATGAACAGAACTGACAAGCATTTGAATTTTCTTTAGGAAGCAGTTTCATTTTGCAACTTTTATGGCTAAGTCGGGATTTTTCAAATTGAATTAATTAAAATACTTACATAGATTTTTTTCTACATAAGAACAGGAGGACTTGTGGGACCCTAGAGACTAACAAATTTATGTGAGCATAAGCGTTTGTGAGCTACAGCTCACTTCAGCTCATGAAAGCGTCTGCTCAAATAAATGAGTTAGTCTCCACGGTGCCACAAGTCCTGCTGTTCTTTTGCGGATCCAGACTAACACGGCTGCTACTCTGAGGTCAGATTTTTTCTAGTGAGTTTCATAACAAATAAACATTCGTTTTAAAAAGTGAGAATTTTTACTGATTCCAGAAAGTGTCTTTTTAAATTTCAGTGACTTTTAAATTTCAGTGATTTCAATAATTTGTTTCTAGTACTCTCAAAAGAAATCATTCAACTAACAAAGAAATAATAATTGGTGAATATGGTAATCAGTTGCCTAGTGTATTAATTAACTTATGCTAATTAACTTGCTACTGTAGTAACTTCCATTCTAATAAACTCACAAGTGTATTCTATATTATATGAATTAATCACATACTATTTTGATTAAGTTAATCAATTGATTAATAATACATATAGGCTAGTGCATTAATTAGCTAACATATTAAACAAGACTGGCTAACTTCTGCCATTAATTGGCTAGTGTATTTATTAAACTAATTAAACAATATATTAAATAATCTATTAATCACCTACTGGATTATTTAATTTTATTTTAAAATTATTTTATTTAATTAAATTATTTGGCACATTAAATACAATACATAATAAAATAAACATATTAAAATATAACTACTCTATTAATTGCTAATATGTTTACCTAGTGACTGTATTTGTTTCCCTGCTAACATATCGATTAAGATAGTAATACATTATTAACCTCTCCACTAATTGACTAGTATATAACACAGTTAACGTTAATTCAAAGAGTAATTACTAACTGATCTATTCATTAACTAGACTAGTAATTAATCTGCAGCTGAGTTAACATATTCATAGAACTAAATGCCAGTTTTTCTGGCTTTCAGTAGCGATGGTTCCCCTGTGATTGCTTAGCTCAGTTCACCAGAGGTTTGCTGGGGCTCTCCCAGGGAATCAGGCTGTGACATGGGTAGAAAAACCCAAATGCGGCTTTACACCGGTGCCAATGAGGCGGGGCAGTCCGGTGGGCTGTTTGCCGTTGCAGTGCTTCGGATTTATTGCCACCAGGGGCACTTTTCGGTGGGATTTCAGCAGCGCCCTCGCTGGCAGGGCGGGCGGGAGAGACGGAGTACCTTGTACTCTAGCCTTCGCCTCGTGCCGCTTTTCCATAACTGCGATCCCCACAGGACAACAGACAGTTTGGAGGGTCCCAGGCCTGCCCCCCCCCCACACCCCATAGCATCTGGGCACCTCATATTTAATCTCCCAATACCCCAGAAGGGGCTTTTAGCACCTAACTCCCACTGAGTTCGATCTACACAGCATGGAGGAGCCAGGCCGGAGGGACCTGAACTGGGGTGTTTCAGACACTCGGTTACCCCTGAGCCTCTGTGCCACCCTCTAGGTGCCACCATAAAATGAAGGGATCATGGCCCAATTGTGCTGGGCGCTGCCCAGACACAGCCGGAAACAGACCCTGCCCCGGCTGAGATCAGGGTCCCGTCGTGCCAGGCGCTGCCCAGACACGTAGCGAGAGACAGGCCCACCCCGGCGGAGATCAGGGTCCCGTCGTGCCAGGCGCTGCCCAGACACGTAGCGAGAGACAGGCCCACCCCGGCGGAGATCAGGGCCCCATTGTGCCAGGTGCTGCCCAGACCCAGCGAGAGACAGGCCCACCCCGGCGGAGATCAGGGTCTCGTCGTGCCAGGTGCTGCCCAGACCCAGCGAGAGACAGGCCCTGCCCCGGCTGAGATCAGGGCCCCGTTGTGCCAGGTGCTGCCCGGACCCAGCGAGAGACAGGCCCTGCCCCGGCGGAGATCAGGGCCCCATTGTGCCAGGTGCTGCCCGGACCCAGCGAGAGACAGGCCCTGCCCCGGCTGAGATCAGGGCCCCGTTGTGTCAGGTGCTGCCCGGACCCAGCGAGAGACAGGCCCTGCCCCGGCGGAGATCAGGGCCCCGTTGTGTCAGGTGCTGCCCGGACCCAGCGAGAGACAGGCCCTGCCCCGGCGGAGATCAGGGCCCCGTTGTGCCAGGTGCTGCCCGGACCTAGCGAGAGACAGGCCCTGCCCCGGCTGAGATCAGGTCCCTGATGTGCCAGGTGCTGCCCGGACCCAGCGAGAGACAGGCCCTGCCCCGGCTGAGATCAGGGCCCCGTCGTGCCAGGTGCTGCCCGGACCCAGCGAGAGACAGGCCCTGCCCCGGCTGAGATCAGGGCCCCATTGTGCCAGGTGCTGCCCGGACCCAGCGAGAGACAGGCCCTGCCCCGGCTGAGATCAGGGCCCCGTTGTGTCAGGTGCTGCCCGGACCCAGCGAGAGACAGGCCCTGCCCCGGCGGAGATCAGGGCCCCATTGTGCCAGGCGCTGCCCAGACACATAGCGAGAGACAGGCCCACCCCGGCGGAGATCAGGGCCCCATTGTGCCAGGTGCTGCCCGGACCTAGCGAGAGACAGGCCCTGCCCCGGCTGAGATCAGGTCCCTGATGTGCCAGGTGCTGCCCGGACCCGGCGAGAGACAGGCCCTGCCCCGGCTGAGATCAGGGCCCCGTCGTGCCAGGCGCTGCCCAGACCCGGCGAAGGCACCATTACGATGCTCTGGCATCGCGGGGCAGTGCCTGGCTCCAGGGGGCTGTTTGCTCAGAGCCCTATTGCACACTTTGTTTGCTGTCCCTCCACGAGGTCAGCTCATCGCCTGCTGGCTGCCCGGACACGGCCGAGCCCTCGCCAAGCCCGGCTCCGCTCCAGCGCCCCACGGCAGACCCGAAGGCGCCAGCCCACACACCTTCCCGTCTACGCGCCCCACCCAGGGCCAGCGGCCTTGGCAGCCCCACTGCGTGAGGAAGGGGGGAGAGACAACAGCACAATGCACAACAGACGGGTGCAGGAAATGGGACACGGGGCCTGTCTCCTCTGGGGGGCCTCAGATCCGGCCCCAGGGCAGGGGACAGGCCGGCTCGGGGGGGACATGGGGCCTGTCCTCTCTGGGGGGGCTCTGATCCGGGGGGACAGGCCGGCTCAGGGGGGCTCTGATCTGGCCCCAGGGCAGGGGACAGGCCCCATGCCCCTCTGCACCCGTGAGCCGGCCTGTCCCCTCTGGGGGGCTCTGCTCCGGCCTCAGGGCAGAGGACAGGCTGGCTCAGGGGGGCGGGAGAGGGACACGGAGCTTCTCCCCTTTGGTGGCCGGGCGGGGGGAAGGGGGGTGTCTCTGATCCGGCCCCAGGGCAGGGGACGGGCCGGCTCAGGGGGGGCGGACGGGGACATGGGGCCTGTCCCCTCTGGGGGGCTCTGATCCGGCCCCAGGGCAGGGGACGGGCCGGCTCAGGGGGGGCGGACGGGGACATGGGGCCTGTCCCCTCTGGGGGGCTCTGATCCGGCCCCAGGGCAGGGGACGGGCCGGCTCAGGGGGGCGGACGGGGACAAGGGGCCTGTCCTCTCTGGGGGGCTCTGATCCGGCCCCAGGGCAGGGGACGGGCTGGCTCAGGGGTGGACATGGGGCCTGTCCTCTCTGGGGGGCTCTGGTCCGACCCCAGGGCCAGGGATGGGCCGGCTCAGGGGGGGCAGACGGGGACATGGGGCCTGTCCCCTCTGGGGGGCTCTGATCCGGCCCCAGGGCAGGGGACGGGCCGGCTCGGGCGGGCGGACGGGGACAAGGGGCCTGTCCCCTCTGGGGGGCTCTGATCCGGCCCCAGGGCAGGGGACGGGCCGGCTCGGGGGGGCGGACGGGGACATGGGGCCTGTCCCCTCTGGGGGGCTCTGATCCGGCCCCAGGGCAGGGGACGGGCCGGCTCAGGGGGGCGGACGGGGACAAGGGGCCTGTCCTCTCTGGGGGGCTCTGATCCGGCCCCAGGGCAGGGGACGGGCTGGCTCAGGGGTGGACATGGGGCCTGTCCTCTCTGGGGGGCTCTGGTCCGACCCCAGGGCCAGGGATGGGCCGGCTCAGGGGGGGCAGACGGGGACATGGGGCCTGTCCCCTCTGGGGGGCTCTGATCCGGCCCCAGGGCAGGGGACAGGCCGGCTCGGGCGGGCGGACGGGGACAAGGGGCCTGTCCCCTCTGGGGGGCTCTGATCCGGCCCCAGGGCAGGGGACGGGCCGGCTCAGCGGGGCGGACGGGGACAAGGGGCCTGTCCCCTCTGG